AGACATGCAATTTTCTCAATATTATATTATAATTAACAAGGTCAAATGCACGACTCAAGTCCAGAAAGCAGGCGTAAACAGACGTACTACGTCTTTTATAATAGTTTACAACATGCATAACGGCATATTGCAGAGTCGGCAGAAACACCGGCATGAAAACCAAACTGAGCATCATTTATCCTAACATTTTTCACAAGTTCGGGCTGTAGAAGTCTTTCAAGCACTTTACCAACTATTGTACCCAGAGTGATAGGGCGGTAATTGGAGATATTAGAAATGTCCGGTTTTATTCTTAACGACTGGTACAACAATCTTCTGTAACATTTTATCAGGCAGATATATATGTTTAATACATAGGTTAAAAAGTAATGCTAGAGAATCAAATAGTTTATCACTGGCATAGAGAAGGTGCTCAACACTCAAGCCATCGTGGCCCGGTACTTACTAACTACTTTTATGATATCACTAGCACACAAGGACAAAACCTCAGCGTTGGAGATTGTCGACTGAGCATGGGAAATACTCTCCACGTGCATTGGTTTAATTGAAAAATGATTAGCAAACATGTTAGCTATGTCCTTTTTGTCGTTAATCTCATTCACGCTAATTGGCAAGCTACTACGTATGTTGCAGGCCTTTTTCGCTTTCCAAAATTTCGAAACTTTTTTATTTGCTCTATGAGTGGCAAGTTTGTTCATTATTATCATCTCTTGATTATTTTGGCACCATTTTAATTTATTTTTAAAAGCCCTATGCATCATTGTCATATCGTCATCAATTTTTCCGTTAAACGGTTTTCCAGCATTTATCCATCCGACAGCGCCAACCGACAAGGCGCAGAAAGTTCGAGTGTGGGGCTTCCAGAAAGCTCAATTCTTCGCTTCGATACTAGATGGCGCTGTTGGTCGAAAGTCAAGATTGAAATTTTCTAGGAAACCCTCCTCGCTCCGGTCCCCGACACTAGATGGCGCTAGTGCCAGGTACCTGGCGTCAACTTAGGCGCGCATCAATACGAAAATAATTTCTTATAACTACGCACCGAAACGACGTCTGCCAATAAAACTTGCAATATGCGAAGCGTTTCGAATTCGAAGTGTTATTGTGAGAATTTGAGAATCACGTAATATTCTGAATAAATTACATGCTTTTTTATTATTATGAAATGTAAAATATAGTCATCGATAAGCGAAAATGACTAAAGATAGTTTTTAAACCACGATATCCTAAGTATACTTTGATATACCAATAAGTTTATATGTGGTAGAGCCACGCTGCAAATATATTAAGGCTGCAACATGAATGGATCGTCTTGACTGGGAAAGGTCCATGCTCTCACAAAATATCAAAGTAAAATTTATTTATTTATTCAGCCAAACGTATCACTAACATTACAGGCTGCTGTGGGTAAAACACGCGCCAAGTAATAATATTCGATGATACGTGATAATGTTGAAAGCTATTTGCATATTCGATAACATAAACTTGTTTATGATTACAAGGATATTACAAGAATATATAACCTATATTTATTCGACAGTAACTTCTCAATAATAATGTCTACGTCGTCGCTTTCCGATTTATGATACACCGTATGTATACATATTTACCTTTTTTATTGCAAGTTTGACACCAGATCACATGCCTATGAAAGTTTACTGTTGAACATAAGGAGAACTTTTACCCAAGCTGTCACGCTTGACAGGTAGTTTGACAAACGCAGTTTGTTTTTATTTTTAGTGTTAGCAGGAAGACTTTGCTCCTGGTTTGTTTCCCTCTAGCATATCATACGATACTTATGTGATGAATCGGGCTAATGTTTATTCTTTAGTCTCCATTTTGCGGCCAGTATTTTTTTATAGAAAAGGGGGCAAACGAGCATACGGATTACCTGATGTTAAGTGACTACCGCCGCCCATGAACAACAGCGATACCAGGGGAATTGGAGGTGCGTTGCCGGCCTTGAATTGAAGGTTTCTAGGTCGTATCGGTCCGGATAAATCACAACAAAATTCCTAGTGAAACGTACAGTGGTGGACCGCCAAGCATCCAGATGGTGTGCATGGTATCGGGAGGTTTGCCGCGTAGTGCGTTCATGAAATTTGGCGGCGGGGATTAATCCGAACAATTAATTATTCCTTAGAGCACTCCCCGTATATCCGAAAGAAAATGCAAAGAGATGCAACACCTCTTATAAAGGGTATATATGCCTGTTCGTGTGCATGGCAACTATAGCGATGTACCTGGAAGTAGTATCCGATCTTACCAGTGAAGGTTTCTTACAGGTCTTCAAACGGTTTGTAGCTCGCAGAGGTCATTATCAAGAGATATGGAGCGATGACGGAACGAATTTCGTGGGCGCGTCTAAGGAACTTGCCCATTTGTTTCGTTCAGAAAGGTGCAATATGGTGGCAGAAGTAGCCGAGTTATTGGCTTACAACGGCACCTTCGGAGGGTTATGGAAAGCTGGTGTGAAATCGGTTAAGTATCAATTGAGACGTGTTATTGGAAATTCGACGCTGACCTTTGAGGAGATGGTGACAGTCTTGACGCAAATCAAGGCATGTCTAAACTCCAGGCCATTGTCTAGATTGTGTGACGATAATAAAAACGGGCACATATTAACACCGGGACACTTTTTGATAGGTGAACCTCCGCTAGTAGCTCCGGATCTGAATTTTGAATCCTCAAATATTAGTTCATTGCGTAGATGGCAATATATGCAAAAAATGGGTCAGAACTTTTGGCGAAGGTGGTCGTCTGAATATTTACGACGTTTTTTCCAAAGCGATAAACGTGTGTCCCAAACGACGCAACCTAATTTAGGCGATGTTGTCATCGTTAAGGAAGACCATCTACCACCTTGTTGGTGGATGTATGGCAGAGTAGTCGCGAAACATCCGGGTCCGGACAAAATTACTCGCTTAGTCTACATAAGGACAAAAAATACTATTGTTAAGCAACCGACAAACAAAATTTGTATGTTACCAGTAACTAAATATTGTTTTAATGTAAGTTTTATCAATTTGTTAATTAGCAAGGATTTTTAAATGTTTATTTTGTATTTTGAAACTTGCACGTATGGTGTAGAACAATGTTGTTCTAGGTGGGCGGTATGTTGAGTATAATATTCTGTATCCATAGAAAATAAACAGTATTGTAGTTCCGCCATTCCTCGCTAGATGCCGCTTACCTAATAAAATACGCACTATTTAGTTGCTGTACTAAAAATGACATAGCGTTGAGACTTTCAAATAAATTTATATACCTCTGAATACGTTGTTTATTTTGGTTATCATAGTGACAGAAAATATCAGTAACAGTCCTTCGGACTCTCCCCACTAGAGGGAAGGAACCTTGCCGCGAATCAGCGCAGTAGATAAATAAATCGTCGTGTGGTGTATAACATAAAAATAACATGAATGTTCCTTTAAATTCACTGTTAAGGGGATTGCGAAAATTCGACGTGGTTAGTGTTGGGTAGGACACGACATAAAATAGAGTTTGTAAGAGTAGCCTCTTTTTTGCACTGAGCCAGTACAATGTCCCACTTCAATTGAGGTGAGGCTAACGAGGTTTGGTATTTGGGCGAGGCGTGCTGAAGCCTGGCGAAACGTTTGAAGTTACGAGTATGAATATGACATTTGACGTTATTGCCGTACAGTTACAATCTGTACTCTGATTGAAGACATTGACTATGAAACGATTAACATACACGATTATATTGTTTGTAAGTAGGTAAATAAAAAGATAAAGAAATATATTTTAAAGAATATAATAAAAAAGCTTGCATATACAATTATAAATTAGAATGTAAAAATAATATTTGCGCGACTTTGTTGCCACTAAGCCGGTTCCTTCTCTCCGTAAGGACCTGGCCTGCTTTACTAAAAGTGCGCTCGGAAGGCACTGAAGTGGCAACGATACAAAGCCGTTTTAAAAATAACTTATAAAGCCTAGGATAGGCGTCCTTTTTAACGAACCACCACTTGGCAGGATCTTGGGACCTTGGCAGTAGGGGTTCCTCGAGGTATTTATCAACTTCGATAATACCCCCTGCAGTCGGATTAATATTTTTTATTATCATATCCACTTGCTCATCAAACTCATTCCATATGCTATGTTTACGCTTACGGGATGGCGACGAAGATGGCGGCTCTGATGTACATGTGCTTTGTATTTGAATTCGCCCGGCCATGGCTTTGATATTTGTACATGCTTTACTGTAAGCGTACTCATTCTCAAACCCATATTTTTTGAATCTTGGATCTAATATAGTACTTTCAGCAAAAATATTATTCTCCTCAATGCACGAAAACCTTGTGCTAATTTCATTTAAAAGCACTTGGGTCATTCGTAAAATACAGTCCGGATGTGGCGTAGATAAAAATTTTAGGCATTTCTTTTTGAGGGCGTTTGATATAAGTATAACCTGAAATTTATAAAACACCACATACATGAAAAAAGAATGTTAAAATTGAATATACAAAATAAATGCGTTATCTATTACTTCACCTCTGATATTGTAACATTCTTTTCTGAACTCATCTCCTCAGTTACATCTTTGAAAAATGAAAGAATTTCTATTGCCGAATCCAAAACCTCAATGTCTTCAGAAGTCATATTTATAGTATCGGGATAATCGATAGCAATTGTGTTTGCTATCGATTATCCCGATACTATAAATATGACTTCTGAACTGTTTTTAATTTTTAAGACCCTTTCGAACATATCATACGTGGAGTTCCAGCGTGTGGAAACGTCTTGTTTTATCTTCAATAGGGGTTCATCTAGCTTCTTTTGCATATTTTTTAATCTCTCAGATGCAAGTGGACTTCTACGAAATAATTCGACAATTTGTTTAATTTTTGTAGTAATATCTTTTATTTCTTTTAATGCAGATTGGACTATAAGGTTGAGAGTATGAGCGAAACAAGGTATTTGCTTCCAATTATTAAGTCTTATAGCAGCTTTGATATTATAAGCGTTATCACTGATTGCTGCTACAATTTTGTCAGAATTCTTTTTAGTTCTAGTGCTAGGTTTTCTGAAGTATGTCTATCTGGAAACTGTGTACATTCCAACAAAAAAGATTTTAATTCTGCTTGCTGATTGAAAAAATGTATTGTCACGGCTAAGTAATTATCAATGGGGGCTGATGTCCACCCATCAGTTGTAATGCACACATGTTCTGCTTGACAGAGTTCTGACTTAACCTTTTCTTTTGTTTGATTATAGACATTAGTCATCAATGCATTAGATAACGTCTTACGACTAGGTAACTGGTAGGCTGGATTTAATTCTTTAATAAAATCTTTGAGTTCAGGGGATTCAATGAGATGGAAGGCTAAGTAATTTTTTGTGAATAATTTTACTAGCATTTTGTTTAGATGTTCAGTTTTTTTAGCAGAAAGCGGTTTATAAAAGTACTGTGTTAGTTTCGTGTTAGTGGCTGAAGCTTTTTTATATAGGTTGGTGTTTTTAGTGGTGGCTGGTAAGAAATCAGATGTTTCAGGCATGACATAAGTTGAAGCAGTAGATGTGGAAGCAGTAGGCATCTCAAGTTCTTGTGCTGTCGAATCAGTGGAATGTGTTGTCAAATTATGGATTTCTGTTGCAGAAGAAGCTATATTTTCAATCGGACATTCACGTATAGCGACAAACACTTGTGGATGCTTGCTTTTTGTGTGTCTGATTAGGTTGTAAGCACCACCGCCTTTGTATGAAAATTCTTTCTGACAAAAATTGCATTTGGCTTTATCATTTTTGAGGTCCTTAAAAAACTGCCAAGCTTTTGAGGATTTTCTATCACCATCACCAGACATACTGCGCATGCAAAAAGCAAACAGAAAAAATGTCAAATAAATTAAACGTCTGAAAACCGTTATTAGCAGGGGATATTTTATTTATGTAGCCTGGTAACCCTTAAATAGGGTATCTATTTTGATTTGACATAAACCCTGCCGCTGCCGCTCGCACCGGTGAGGTGTCCTGGCCAACGGACAATCGACATTCGCTAAACTGTCTTTTACTTAAATACTTATACCCACACCTATAACTATACAAAGTTTATAGGTATCTTTTATTCAAATGTAGTCATAAACAAAAGTATCAACTCAGACAAATAAAAATATTAAAACCACAAAATTAAAACTAAAACTAAAACTTTGAGCTTTGAGCCTTGAGCAGCGCGGTGAACTAATTGCTTCATATTCCTTTCAGAAATGAGGAAAGTCTTGGAGACTTAAAAGCTAAGCGCTCGGTGTAAATTTTACAAAGTTATCGTGACACCACGAGAAAATATCTTCAAATTGAGTAGCGTTTGAGTATTTGGCCATCACAATATTGCAACACTATTACGTGAATTCCGCAATTACGCATTTCGTTGAACTAATTGGCCTCATAACCTTTTAAGAAATTAGTTTAGGCATGTGCATAACAAAAGAACTTCTGAAGACCGTCCAATTTTATTTTTATTGCGAAATGTTCACATACAAAAATAAATCATTGAAAAGTTCACTCTTATTTATTCGATGAATTTTACTGCACTATTAAATAAAAGAGTATATTCTGTTTTGATATTTCCTCTTAAAAGTCAGTGTATATGAGTTCCCTGGTGTATAATAAACCTTTATGAACTTGAGTTAATAAAACATATCGTTAAAATATAACCGGAAGTGTAAGTGCAAGCCAACACTCTCGTTATAGTAATGCTGATTTTCATCACATCAAAGTTCATCGCGTGCTGATAAAAAAGAGTAAAATTTAAGAAATAGAAAAGAAGAACCTAAAAATATCAACCACTAATCTTAGAATAGGTTAATATTACACCTTATATTTCCATAACGACATTAAGCATTTATTTTAATTGGCCCAAATTGCTTAGTAATATCATTACTTTTTAAGTGCAGCAACTGAACTATTTCGTTTATTGCAAGTTTTTTTTTCTTTTTATTGTATGTTTTTAGTCGGTCCTTGATCTTATAGTTTAAATATTAAAAATAACAAAATTTACAAGTTTTTAAGTATTTTATTTTCTTTTATAACTACTTTTCTTTACTTTGTTCTGAAATACATTGCCAATTCATTAAATAATACAATATACAAGTAATATACAATTTTTATTTAATGCAATATTTACGCATTTTATCCAACCCATAGTAATTTAATATTAATAATTTCATATATAAAATGCAAATGTAACAAGATGCCCTTTTAACATTTGTATGCAAATACGCAACTACGGAATTCCAGGAGCGTGAAAGAATCACTGGAGCTCTTAATTGTCGCACCTGCGTTTTATCCACGGTGTGAAGGCATCGGCTGCGTAGTAAACATCTTTTATTTTGAGAACGTTTGTTTTATATTTTTAAAAATGGGAACGACGCGGGAGGTTTACACTGCACTTACTGCTACTAACTTCCCAGTAGAAACTGTCAATAGTAGAAAAGCCTGAAATAGGAAATTGGATTTTGAATAAGCATTTTCGAATGGGTAGCATAGAGCAACTAAGTATAGATGAGGTCATAAAGTAAAACGTTTTTTACTTTTTTTCTTCTTTGGTGTTTTAGGCCTTATAAACGGTTTTTTTAATAATAAAACGTACGTTTTGTAATACAATTTTATTTTCTAACTTTTTGTTTCTAAGAAATAGACTGAAATATTAACGACAGCGTAACCACCGAGAATATTTGACTGTATCTGACATCGCATATGTCGTGTTCAGAGAAATTTATGTCGTTTTTATCAAAACACGCTTGCAACAAAATGTCAAGTAATGGACCATGAAATATTTGTGGAACAGTAAAGAATTTTAAATGTTTTTTCATTATGAAATATATAATTAAAACCAGGTAGTACTACCAGGTAGTACTTTTGACGATGCTTTGTGATATATTTTTATTAATCTTTCATAAAATAATGTAAAGTATTTTTGAGGGTAGGTGCGAAACAGATAACAACTGAAATTATCTCTCGTGTTTTATTTACATTTAAAAATAAGTATAATTAACTTAACTGTTTATAATTTTTAACTGCAGTTTGTAAAAATAAGTTTTAGAATTATTATCCCTTATAGGAATGTGCATTTAAATTAGTTAAAAAAACTTATATTCATCTTACCTCTATAACATCTGTCACACTAAATAAAAATTACTACTTTTCTATCTCTCCTCGGTTAATTCACTTTACTACAATGGAAAATGTCTCTGAAGCTGTAAATATCCAAAAGGAATTGGAAGGAAGCTTGACCCGGAAGATGGTGGAGTTTGAGAAACGTCTGAAGGCTACAACTACTCCAACTAACCCAACAGTTTTACAGCTTCGGGAGGAGTTTGATTCATTTAAGGTACTTGTTAGTTTCATGTTCAGCCTGCTGCAACAGCAAATTCAAGAATGCAACAAAAGTGTTGATGCAATCAGTATGTATCACCGAAGAAAAATTCTGCTTTTTCATGGAATAGCTGAGCTTTCTGAGGTTGACCTAAAACGACAAATTATACAACTTTTGCACAAGTGTCTGGGTCTAACTTATATTACTGATGACTCTCTCAAGAAATACTACAGACTGGTTGTTCAATCCAGTACCCGTTCAAGGCCAATTCTTGTGCACTTTAACGATCATAGCACTAAGTATGTGATTTGGAATTTAAAATCAAAGTTTCAAAGGTTCTGTCATTTCAATGCGTGAATTCCTCACTAAATTTCGTCACCCCATACATAAGAATGCCCGTAAGTATTTCGGAATTAGAAATATTTGAACTATTGATGGTGCAATCTATGTAAAGCACTCGGGAGGCCGAACGTAGATTTCCACTGAGGAGGAATTGGAAGAACTAATAGCCAAGTACCCCTGGGAATTCTAACAATCTAATACAAAGCCTCTAACACAAAGGTCACTCCAACGTAGCAAAACTCTTCGAATCGGCAAAATGATGCAGCATGTCGTATTCAAACTTCAGCTGTAACTCACATTGATGAATTAAAGAGATCTAGAAGACTGGTTGGCAAGAAGTAATTTCTACATTGCTTTTAACTTTCCAAGGTATCCTTGTTATTCCTATTATCATATTTTGGTTATGTTCATCTCATTTATTATTTTTTCCTTCTCTCACAGTTTACTTTGTCTGGTAACATAATGACTATTTTTAGTTTTTTTTAACCGTCAGCATTAGATTAGAATATAAATCGATCGTATTCCAATTCTATGTAAATAATTTGTTATTATTAAATAATGGGGGATAAAAATAATGGGGGATAAGTCGCTCGCGTCCGTAGGCTTTGACCACCTAATCCTAGGCCCACCCTACACGTGTCCCCCGGGTGGTGCTAAATGAGCGACAAGCCGAAGGCACAGACTCGGCTCCTCACCTTGGTAGCGGCGTAAAATATACTACCCCATATTTTGCTCCATGAGAAACCAATCGAAAGAAATGGCCTCGAGTTCCCGGCGCCATTTTAATGGGGCTGGGGTGCGAAGAATCTCCGGGAGGAAAGCCGGTGACGAGGTTCGCCACCCGTCACGTTCTGTCTCCCCGGAGGGGCGAAAAGTGGATTGCAGAGGCCCGTCTGACTACGTTGAGTGTATGTGGAGCAATGAATGATAAAATGGATGAAGTATGCGATATAATGTATGATAGATGAATAGATGTGTTATGTGTAAATCAGACGAAACGGAAATGGAAGGATGTCACTACACACGGCATGTATAACGCATACTGGTCTGGTGTAGACGAGATTGAGCGGGCATGCCAGGGAGTACGTATCATCCTTTCAGAAAAAATAGGCCAATGTGTGAAAGAGTATGAATGTGTAAGCCCAAGACTGCTATGGATACGAATGAAAGTGGGCTTAAAGAAGTTGTTTGTTCTAGAGGTCTAAGCCACGACATGTCTAAGCCTATTTATATCCGAGAGCAGTTTTGGGAAATGGTAAGGATGATGTTAATGAAATGTAAGTGAAATAAAAACATTATTATGCTAGGAGATTTTAATGGAAGGGTTGGGGTGAGGGGGTTTGGTTATGAAAGGATATTGGGAACATTTTGTGATGAAAGTATAAATGAGAATGGTGAAAGCCTCATCACCGTATGTGTAGAAAAGAATCTTTTTGTGACGAACAATTGCTTTCGCCACAAGAGGATTCACATGTATACTTGGGAAAGCGTTGATGATAGAAACATGAAAGATTTCGTAATTGTGGATGAAATAATGAGGGGCGCAGTGGTAGATACAAGGGTTTACCGAGGGTCTAACTTAGGAACGGATATTAATGGTCTATTCAGGCGTTGGTGCCATCGGTCATATGTGTCTACCACTGCGTTACAGCGTATTAGAACTGAAAGATTACAATAGGAAGGTGAGAAAAACAAGTTCAAAACTAAAAGAAAATATAAGTGGTTTGGATGAATTATGTATGAATGAGTTGACTTGGAGAATGTATGGCAATATGTAAAAGAAGATTTAGTGGATGCAGCTACCGAAGTATGTAGTGCTAGTAAGAGAAAGAATGAAAGGTAAAATAATACATTATAGTGGGATGATGAGATACGTATGGAAGTTGAAGCAAAGCAGAGAGCATGGCTAGATTTACTAGCAAAAAGAATAGTAATTCTAGTGGTGCAAATGATGATATTGAAAGAAAAAAGGCAGTCTTTAGACAAAATTAAATAAGAGAGTAAAAGAAGTAGTTGAAAGGAAAAAGCAAGAAAGAATGGATAAGAATGATAGAAGAATATCAGATAACTTCCAGGCAGATATTAAAATATTCTGGAAACTCGTAAGAACTGCCAGGGAAAATTCAAAACAGCCTATAATTAATGCTATAA